GGCCGACGGCTGGGAGAGCTGCAGTCCACTTGCCAGAAGCTGCCGCACGCATCAAAGGCACCTTGAAGGCACGCAGCGCAAAGTTACCGCTGCCGCAGGTTGTTTGCAACTAAACTTCCTTCCTGCCACTTACTGTGTCGCGGCCACGGCGGCGGGGGGGAGCGGAGGGAGAAAGAGGAGACCTTTTTTCTCAAAGCGATCTCCGCCGCGGAGCCGTCTCCGATGCGAGCGCAACTTCCCCAGCCGCTGCTTGCGAGCGGCTGGGAGAAGGAGGAGGAGGAGGAGGAGGGCGAGGAGGAGGAGGGAGCCGCGCACCCGCTCCAGCCCAGGTCGCGCGGAGCCCCCCCGGCTCCATGCAGCCTCCCCGGCTCCTCCGCCGCGCGGTGCGGAGCGGGAGCGGCTCCGGGACGCGGTGGTTCCCCCCGGCGCTGCTCCGCTCGCTGCCCCCCGCGCGGTGCCGCCGACCGCCCCCCGCCCCGCGGCTCTTCTCGGTTCCTCTCGGCTCAGCCTCCCCCGCCGGCTCCGCCCGCCGCTCGCATCGCTGCCCTCGGTGCTGCTCGGGCGGGTGGCGGCCCCGGCTCGCCGACCCCCTCCCTCTGAACGTGGAAGGGGTTCATCACCGCGAAGCCCCGCCGCCCCCCGGCTGTCCCGCTGCCAACCTGTCCGCGCTGTCCCAAACCCTCACTTGGCTCTTAGGATCCAGGTGAGCCCTTGAAGCCGCGCCAGGAAGAGCTTTCTGGGCCAGAGCTTTCAGACACCGCCTAAGAGAAGCACCCTGCACCCAAGCACCCTGATTTGCAGCCCCATTCGTGGTATAGGAAAGTATTTAAAAATGCAGGATATAATTTATACACATATACTGCACCTAATTATCATAGCTTATATGCAATACATATGTTGCAACTGTATAATTTGGGATATATTTTATGGCATATGACATTTGCTTATGTAAATTGTTGCTGCGAGGTTCCCAGGAGCTGAAATAGCTCCCCAAGCCCAAAGGCATCCAGATACTGAGCTCTGACAGAATCACGGAATTGCACAGAATCATTAAGGCTGGAAAAGATCAGTAAGATCATCCAGCCCAACAGTCCCTCTGGCACCAGTACTGCCCACAGCCACATCCCTCTGTGCCACACCTTCATGGTTCTTGAACACCCCCAGGGACAGGGACTCCACCACTCCCTGTGCAGCAGTGCCAATGCATCACCACCCTTTTGGAGAATAAATTCTTCCTAGTACCCAATCTGGAAGTTTTGTCATTTAATACTGTAAGTGTTCAGTATTTATTGAGTGCTCTCAGCAGTATTGGGAGCATGACAGGAGATCGAAGCCCAGTAACTGGTTTTCATTCACATTCCATCCAACAAAGCCCTTCTCATGACAGCAGCCGTGGTATTTTGAGAAGATGGGTATCAAAGCTCAGTGTGAGTTCATCTTTGGTACGCTGTTGTGTTCTTGTAGGACAAGAGTTATTGGCCTCATGTTGCACAAGGGAAGGTTCAGCTTGGATATTAGGAAAAATATCTTCTCAGAAAGGGTAGTGAGGCACTGGCACAGGCTGCCAAGGGAGTCACCATCCCTGGAGGTGTTCCAGAACTGTGGCAATGTGGCATTAAGGTTATGGGCGTGGTGGGGTGGGTCTTGGTGGTCTTAGAGGAACCTGAATGATTCTATGGTTCTGATTCTGTTTATATTAAGAGCACGGATTCAGTATGTTTCATGACGCTAATAATATGAACTTTATTGTTTAGATGCCTGCATATAATTGAAGATCTCATGGCTTTTTAAGGAGAGGCAGCTCTTTGTAATGGTTTTTAACGCTATTCAATGTGCTCAGCAAACCCAAACCTCCAAAGAATGGAAAGAAATAGATGCTAACCATAATAACAATAAATGTAAAACCTCTGAGATGACCCATATAAAAAGAAAAAGGAAATCAAAAGCAGACTTCTTCCTCTTTCAGTGCCATTTATATTAAATGCCCTAAAGGGGGTTTTAGTTATATACCGCAGAAGAAAAATTGGCATTACTTAAGAAAAAAAACACATTTATGACTGCTCATAACGTGAGAGATTTAGGTCAGTTGGGGTCTTAACAGAGCTCTGGGAACTGTATGCAGAGTTTAGGATTTACTGGGCCAGCTACTGTCTGGGCAGGGCTGGGTGCTAGTAAAGAGCCATTGAAGTCAGCTCCGTTGCTGGGAGGATCAAGGACTTTTATGTTTATTCAAAGGGTACAGATCAGATAATGACTGGGTAAAAAAGCCAGGAAAGAAGGAAGCACCCTCTTCCCCTGCTCACACAGCTGGGCTGCCAGGAACACTTCACTGCTTCCCTGCGGCGCTCCGTGAAACCTGACGCCAGGAGCAGCTCCTCTCCTGCTGTGTGCTGGGAATATCCGAGTTCCCAGCGAGGTGGGGGAGACAAGGGAAGATTGCTGCTTCAGGACAAAAATAGCATCTGAAAGAAATGACCTTTGCTGGGACTCAGATCCTGCCTTTGAGAACCCGCCTCGATCAGTGCACTGCCACCCAGCTACCTCCCTGCAGAGATTTGCACAGAAGTGGATGAATGGAGCATGAACCACCCCTTCCTTTCCTTCTCCCTCTTTCCCTGAGCCCACAGGAATTTGGGCACATTTCTTTGCGTGGATAGCACACGCCTCCCTCCCATCTTGGGATAAAAATAAGAGAGAAGCAACCAATGACCAGCTACCTTCCGCTTGCACGGAGCTTAAGCTGTGAATGAAAAGCCACCTGAGAACACTGCACTGAGCCTGAAGGATTCACCTAGCGGACATAAAAACAATATACAAGGCTTGAGCAGAGCAATTATTGCATACCACTCTCCCTGTGAGAAATCAAAGGGATGTATGAGCACAAGCATGTGGTATTTAAGAGACTGCAACATCTTTTCTTGTCTCTGGGGGTGAAATTGTGGACATTGTGGAAATGCAGTTAAACCTAAATCAACTTCCTAATAGAAAATAGAAAATAGAAATACACTTTACAAATAGAAATACACTTGGTCTGGGCACTAACTCAATTACTGCAGGGAAAGATTTTTGCTTTATTAAGGAATGAGCACTGCTTAAGTTTAGCATCACTATTGATGCAAAAGGTACCCATAGGAGCATAGAGAAAAGGATAGACCCTCAAAAGAGGCAGATTGTAGGAAAAGAATCCACACTTCAAGAAAAACTGCTGAAATGACAGAAAAAAAACCCTGAATTTAAAAGTTTTTATCACAACAAACGGAGAGAGGAGGGAGGGAGCAGGATGGGTGGGAGATGTCATGGTGGGCTGAAGTGTAATTCTGGTGGTGGGACAAGGGATTGAGATAGGACATTCTTTGTCATAATGCTTTCAGCCATAAAATGAATTTTTAATGGGTCATATCCTGTTGGCATGTGGAGGTGATGAGATTTTGTGTGGCCTCTCTGCTTCTATTGACAACCTGATGTTTTCATACTGCGAGGGAGCATTTTTGTTTGAGAAGGGAATTGATGGGAGTGGGTGCTAAACCATGGGGCATTCTGCTCACCAAGAACTCACAGAGAACTTCTGATGATGAGAAGGGGGGAAAAATTAATAGGGGAGGAGGAAGACGCATTGAGAAAATCTCCAAGTAGTTTGTGGTGATGGAAGAATCTGCCCCAACAGGAAAATGCTTGAAATGACAGTAGGCAGGGAGCTGCTGGAGAGCAGCACAAGGGAGAGCACATGGGAAATGGTGAGAGATGGAGCACAAAGCAACTGAAATCGAGTGAAAAGCAGAGAACACAATGTCACCAGAGCTGTCGGTGTGCAGTTGTTGTGATTTGGCCCTTCTCTTTGGCTGCCCCACACAAGACATGTCCAGGAGTTGACACTGGGATAAAGTGGTTGTGCTTTCCTGTAAAATATCAATTTTATGCCTTGTGGACAAAAACCAAACTTGGTGTCTGGCAAATTGTGTTGAGAAAGGGAATGCTGAAGGATGGTGTCTTACTGATCACGTTAAGTTTAACAGTATTGGAAGGACTTGCAACTAGCTCTGTGGTTCTGCAGTGCCATGTACCTCTTCCCAAAGTGATGCCACGTTAAATGGAGAAAGGTTGAAGGGTTACTGCAGGGCATCTGAGCAGCACAGGAACTGTTTGCAGGCTTCCATCAGTTGATGCTTGTCAGTAATTTCTTTTTCTG